GTCGCAGAATTCTGGTGCTTGACAGACCAACTGAATCTGAAATTTAGAATTTCAGACCAAAAGGAAATGCATTTTAAAAATAGGATTTTGGCACTGTCCATCAGACTAAACCTTATTGTGGGGGGGGAAGCATTTTAAAGCAGAAATAATTATTCAGGTAGCAGATGAATATTTTGTATCATTAAAATGTCAGGAATCCAGCTGGTTACAAGATTAGGAATGTTATAACACTTTCAAATGAAGAGATGAAAATTGGATTTCTTGCTTGCAGATATATATTTTTAATGTATTTTTATTAAAGATTTTCTTGGTTTACAAAAGTATGTGCAATGTCTATTTTCAAGTTACATTTTTTACAGATCGGTTTCATTTGTTGAGACATTAGTGTTACATTAGGAAGAAAAGGGGGAAAGAGGTGGAGGGGGGAATGGTGAGTGGGGGTGGAGATTTGACTTAGAAATATTCAGGTGGCTATCAGTCACCTTGTTAGAGAGCTCTCCTCTTATGTGGCCAGACTGGATCGTAATAGAATTATCAGGATGTAATGGGGCACCACAGCTTACCGTATTTACTCAAGTCTAATGCGCCATCGAATCTAATGTGCACCTTAATTTTCGCAACCTAATTCGGCCAAAAAAAGGTGAGCAGTAGATTTGAGTAAATGCGGTGATTCTTTGCCATAGTCCTTTCTCTCCTTCTCTGTCCAAAATTTAACATGACTTTTCCCTTTCTGTAGGATAAGGAAATTTACCGCTGGCCCATCAAGGAGTCTCTGAAGGCCATGATCGCTTGGGAGTGGACTGTTGAGAAGGCCCGGGAGGGCGAAGAGGAGAAGACCGAGAAGAAAAAGACTCGCAAGATCTCACAAACAACCCAGGTTTGACCCGATGTGTCTTAGGAGGAGAAAGAACATCTGGAGGTTGGAACTAAGGGAAAATAGTACATGTTTCTTGCCCTAGATGCGAAGCCCCTTGGGAGGCCACAATTTTGAGAGGGTTGTGTGGCTTCTTAACCCCCTTTCCTATTTCCTCCTTCTGTCACGGTCCGGTTCACGGGCGATCAAAGTCCCGGCTGGGGATGTCGGGATCGGGGGTGGGGTGGGAGCAGGAACGGGAGTCCAGAAGCCAGGAGTCAGGAAGCCAAGAGTCTGAGGGTCAGAGAGCTGGGAGTCAAGAAGCCAAGGGTCCAAAAGCAAGGAGTCACGAAGTCAGGGGTCCGAGGATCAAGAAGCAAGGAGACAAGGAACTAAACACAGCAAGGCAGGGAACGTGTTGCTGTGGCAAAGAGCCGAAGGGAAAATGCTGACCTTATATCCCTTCCCGATATAATTTCTGACTTTTTCTGTGTGTAGATCCACCCACACTTTGAAAAGTTGCAATTTAGGGAGTATAGCTCAGACTTCCTCAACCTGTTTAGGGAAGCTTTTAATGTTTGATGTACTACAGTATTTTAATGTTTTTTGGAAGCCGCCCAGAGTGGCGCCCAGATGGGTGGGGTATAAATAAATTATTATTATTATTATTATTATTATTATTATTATTATTACCTCGGGCCCTCCAGATGATAGATAGATAAACTTCATTCGCATTAGCCAATGGCCATAGCAACATAAAACAAGCAATGTATACAATTTAAAATACAACAATGGGTAAAAAGGACACTGAAATGACCAAGATTATCGTTCAGATAGTGGCCCTTAATCTCATTGCACCCTCGATAAACCTAGCAACCTTTGCTGTAGTCTGATCATTTTGATCTGATAAAAGAAAGAACAACATGGCCGCAGATGGGCGGCCTGGGATGGTAAGTAAGAGTGGGGTGATGATCTCATTCCTCAGATCTTTATAAAGGGGACAGGACAGGCAAACATGAGCCACTGTTTCCAGATTCGATGCACCAGTTGTCTAAGGCAGCTTCCAGCATTTCTGCGGGAGAGAGGCATCCAGAAAATTTGACCTAGCGCAAGAGAAAGGAGTCAAGGGTGGAGGCGATGGTGGTGTGGTGGAGACAATGGCGTCCAGTGAGCAGTCTTTGTTCTTATGTGTCCCCCTTAGACCTATGACCCCAGCCATGGCTACAACCCTCAGCCCATTGACCTGTCTGGAGTGACCCTTTCCAGGGAACTTCAGGTGAGTGAGCACAAAGCAGAGCGGGAAAATCCCTCAGTCATCGTAACTTACCCAAATATATAATTTCTTCCACTTTTGACCACGTCTTCTCCTCGCCCCACCACTGGTCTCTCTCCACAGGCCATGGCAGAGCAGCTGGCTGAGAACTACCACAACACCTGGGGGCGCAAGAAGAAGGTGGAACTGGAAGCCAAAGGTGAGCCTCTGCATCTTCTTCTTCTTCTTTCTGCCTTTCCTTTTATTGGGGGCTGTTGTTCTCTCCCCTTTCCCCCCTCCCAGCAGGCTTCATGCCTCCTCTTTCTCTTTCCTCCCCCCCAGGGGGTGGCACCCATCCCCTGCTGGTGCCTTATGATACGCTGACGGCCAAGGAGAAGGCCCGAGACCGAGAAAAGGCCCAGGAGTTGCTCAAATTCCTCCAGCTTAATGGCTATGCAGTGACAAGGTGAGCCTGGAAGGAGACGGGGTGGGGTGGGGTGGGGTGGGTGGGTGGGCGAGATCGTGCACACACATGCACACTGATGACATGTTCTGTATAAAAAAGGTAAGAGATGGGGGAACGTATGCTACATGCTCTGGGGCAGGCACCCCCAAACTCGGCCCTCCAGCTGTTTTGGGACTACAATTCCCATCATATACAACTGGGAATACAATTCCAGTATATTCCAGTATTCTAGGAATACAATTCCAGTATATCTGAAGGAGCGTCTCCACCCCCATCATCCAGCCCAGACACTGAGGTCCAGCTCCGAGGGCCTTCTGGCGGTTCCCTCACTGCGAGAAGCTAAGTCACAGGGAACCAGGCAGAGGGCCTTCTCGGTAGTGGCACCCGCCCTGTGGAGCACCCTCCCACCAGATGTCAAAGAGAACAACAACTACCAGACTTTTAGATGACATCTGAAGGAAGCCCTGTTTAGGGAAGGATTCAAAACCTGCGGGACCAGAGATTTACAGAAGATTGGAAGAAGTATATGAATTATTTGAAGAGCAACTGTAATCAACAAATTACACTAGTAGGACTACAAGAAGTTTTGTAAGGAGAAATATACGAAGTGTTGCAAAGTAGAAAAAGATAGAGATATTGGTTATGAGTTTGAAATGTAATAGGGAAGATAAGAAATGCATACTGAGAGATTAGATTGGAAATTTTTCAGAGAGGATTGATGGAAGTCAAAAATTTGAATAAGATGTAAAAGTATGTTTAATTACTGTTGAAAATGATATGTTATATATATATATAAAAAAGAAGGGCCAGCAGTCGGGGATGATGGGAGTAGTAGTCCAACAACATCTGGGGACCCAAGGTGGAGAGAGGCTGCTCAAGAGTACCAGCAAAAACCTGTCTCACTATCTCCGCCTTCTGTTTATCTCTCGCAGGGGGTTGAAGGACATGGAACTGGACACATCGTCCATTGAGAAGCGGTTTGCCTATGGGTTCCTGCAGCAGCTGCTGAAGTGGATGGACATCTCTCAGGAGTTTGTCGCCCACCTGGGTAAAGGAGCTGTGAATATTTCCCCCCACCCTAGTAGCTTCCTCTGGAACCTGTGAGGAGCTACACACTGACCCCTGTAGCGCTCCAGATCTCCAAGGACCCTGTGGGTGGGGAAGAAGGGAGCTTTAGAATGAGCCGTTTCAACTTACTTAGGATGGGAATGGAGACTATTGTAGCAAAGCCAGTTGAGCCAGAACTCCAGGGTTCTGTTCTCAGTTCTGTGAAGGGGACAGCAGTTAAAGCATGTTAGTGTATAGGAGTAAGGACACCTGGATTCGCTTTGTCAAATGCGGTTGGGAAGTGTGAGTCTGCTTTGCATTCTGTTTTGCAGCTTTGGGCTCATCCTCACTGTGCTTTCTAGGCAAAGGTCTAAGTGCTTCCCCTGCTTTCCCCAGGAAAAAAACAACACTCTTTAATGCTGAATTGCAACAAATGGCAAATCAGGTCTTCTACGGATTGCCATTTGCTCTGACTCAGCAGTAAAGAGCATAAAGCGTTTGGACCCGCGCTTAGAAACATGGCACAGAATGAAGTCTGGATGAGCCCTTACTGATCCCTGGGCCAAAGACCAAACCGTTTTGGAATGCTTCCAACTAGTCCTTGTTTTTGGCTGGGATTCAGCACCATACCACCAAATTTGGGCTGACCTGTTGCCCTTGCGCAGCAAACTCACTCTCTCACCCCCAGAGCAGGATTTTTTTTGGTGCACTGGGGTAACATTGGCTTGACACAATGTCACCTAACCTTGCTGCAAAGGTATCGGGATTAATACTCAATAAATAAATAACTCAAACCACCCTGCGAACTTTGTGCTAACCAGGCAGGACGAATGCTCAGTAAGTCAGCTGTCTAGAAGCCAGCTCCTTTTCTCAATTGTTAGGGACACGGGTGTGTATTTGTTGCATGTGAGTGTGCCTTATCCCTCCCGCTTCTCACACCTTGGTGGAACTCACTGGGATTCTTCCTGCTTCAGACGCCGTGGTAAGCAGTGGCCGGGTGGAGAAATCCCCTCATGAACAAGAGATCAAGTTCTTTGCCAAGGTAAGTTGACCTTTCTCTCTTCCTCTTTCCCTTGGGGACTGGGGAGGTTTTCCCTCCCTAAACAGAGCATCAGCTGTACTTAGCGATGTTGGTGAATTCCATCGGAACTGAAAACAGGAGCAGAAATTTTTGTGATTTGCACGTTTGCCATGTGGGGACTTTTAGGGAAGCAGGAGAGGATATAATATTTTATGATATCCTTCCTAGCTTGCGTCAGCAAGTTCTATAACTTAGCAGAGTTGTTAAACAATCCCCCTTTTAAATTACGCAGTGGAAGTGTTCTGGGCCCATAACCCTTTGTGGGGATAAAATAAAAAAATTCCTTCCAGTCGCACTTTAGAGATCAACTAAGTTTGTTATTAGTATGAGCTTTTGCTCATACTAATAACAAACTTAGTTGGTTTCTAAGGTGCTACTGGAAGGATTTTTTTTATTTTGTTTCGACTACAGCAGACCAACATGGCTACCTACCTGTAACTAGAACCTTTGTGGGGAAGTTTAGGGAGGCAGGAGAGGATATATTATTTTATTATATCCTTCCTAACTTGCGTCAGCAAGTTCTATAACTTAGCAGAGTTGTTAAACAATCCCCCTTTTAAATTACACAGCGGTTAGCTAGTTGCAGGCTCGTCTGAGCCTCACTATTTAGGATTCTTATTCTTGGTATGATCCCTTTTTATATCCCTCCTAAAAGAATAGACACGACCAGCTGATTAAAGTTAGCATAAAACTAGTTACTATCATCCAGTTCACAATAAGATCCCTGAGGGCAGACTTAATTTACAGAACAACATATAACTATGTGAATTATCCCCTAAGGGAAATAGTCTCAAGTGACTGCGACTCAGCAGTCACTTCTCCTAACTCTTTGGAAGACAAAATGGAGAACAAGAAGAGCAGAACATGGAGGCCGTGTGCTCCTCTGTCCAAGAACAGGCCACACCCACATTCAGTCACATGCAAAGGAAGTCTGTCCCAGCTCAGGAGGAACTAGCAAGTTTTCTCCTGAGTAATACAAAGCATTCCCCAGCATGTGCATTGTAGGCATGTTGTATTTGACTGCAATACGTTTTTACATCCCACACGCCAGAGGTCAGGAACGGAAAGCACAAAAGCGAATACAAATTGTGTCCACTATTGCTTCAATTTAAACCCGCAAACGTCACATAAATAATCACATTTATTCACTACGTCGTTTTTGACGTTTCGCTCTTCATATGGTGGCAGTGAGTGGCATAAAAACCAACAATGAAATGACCTTTGTAAAGCAAGTACAGTGGTACCTCGGGTTACAGACGCTTCAGGTTACATACGCTTCAGGTTACAGACTCCGCTAACCCAGAAATAGTACCTCGGGTTAAGAACTTTGCTTCAGGATGAGAACAGAAATCGTGCTCCGGCGGCGCGGCAGCAGCAGGAGGTCCCATTAGCTAAAGTGGTGCTTCAGGTTAAGAACAGTTTCAGGTTAAGAACGGACCTCCGGTATTGACATATAAGCTACGGGACAAGGATAACTGTGACTTTAAGGATGAATGGGAACCTTTCACAAAATATTTGAAGACGCAACAAAGCGAACTGGACTCCTTGGCAGGTTTTGAATAAACATTCACAATTTTTTTACTGATAATAATCAGCTAAACAGTTTGAGGATCTATACAACTGTGTAACATGCAGAAAATAGCATTAGTGGAGAAACCAAAGACTGGAACTGAGGGAAGTCGGGGGGTGGGGTGGGGGGATGGGTTCTGGGGGGGGGGGGGAAATGGGGGGGGAATAAGGATATGTTTTTGGAAAATATGTTTTGTTATAACTTTGAATAATAATAATAAAAAAAAAGAACGGACCTCCGGAACGAATTAATTACTTAACCCGAGGTACCACTGTACATGGGGATGAATCCGACGTAATGCTAAGGAGCTGGTTTCATTAGCAGAAGAGTTTCTGCTTGCCCAATGGAACGATTCCCCTCTCTCCCTCTGCCCTGTGCTGTTCTGGCGGTAATTCCAACCACCACCACCCAAACCAATGGGGAGGAGAGAGGTGACTGCCTCTTTGTCCTAGCAGACGTTCTTGAGTTTAAACCCAGCCCAGAATACATCACAAACCTGCACGTCATCTTATTTAATATTTATGCTCCCCTATCAGATCCTGCTGCCCCTCATCAACCAGTACTTCACCAATCACTGCCTCTACTTCTTGTCCACACCGGCCAAAGTCCTAGGCAGCGGAGGCCATGCGTCCAACAAGGAGAAGGAGATGATAACCAGGTGAGTACCTAGGAAACACCAGAAAGAACTGGATGCTTGTCTGTGTGTGAGAGTGTGCACAAAGGGTTACACCAGGCTTCCTCAACCTCGGCCCTCCAGATGTTTTTGGCCTACAACTCCCATGATCCCTAGCTAGCAGGACCAGTGGTCAGGGATGATGGGGGTTGTAGTCTCCAAACATATGGAGGGCCGAGGTTGAGGAAGCCTGGTGTAACCCTTTGTCCACACTCTCACACACAGACAAGTTGGTTGTAAAGTGTAAAGTGAGGACAAACTTGTGTTTGCAAATATATGCTTGTTATACAGATAGGCAGTGGTTCGCTGTGAGAAGATGTTCAAACCAAGGTTTGCTAGCTAGTAATGTGTGAAAAATGGCTCTTGTTAGAGCTGAGATGAAACTTTTTGCAAATGCAAAGTTTGCCCGAATTGGACTCCTTTTTAAATTTCGCATATTTGCATATTTCAGCTTTGAAATATAAAACTTTGGAGGTTTTGTTGTTGTTTTAAGGATAGAGGAAGCCTTGTGTATTAACTATAAGGCAATAATAATTTACAAATAGAATTTCTAAATTTGAATGTTGTATTTACCCATTAAACCTCTCAACAGCCTGGATCCAACAGCATCCATGACTGGGAATTTTGTTGAGGGAAAGGGAGAGGAACCATCAAGCAGAGAGGATATGAAGTCACATTTTTTTGCAAATAAAATGTTTCTGTTCGAAAACTCCTAACCCCTTCCTCCCAAAATTAATTTCAGGCCACATGTCTTTGTGCACATGTGTTTAATATTTTTTTATTGAGACTTGGGAACACCTGTTTTGGGGGGAAAGGTTGCATGTGAAGCAACTTGGAGCTCTGAATTCTGCCTCTTGCATTCTTTTTCTGGCCGGGCATATGGGTTTTATGTGCATGAATGTAGGAAGGTAGAGGCATGTACACCGTCCTCTTCAAGCTGCCTCACCGAGGCTCCGAGGCCCCGTCCGCCCTCCCCTCTTCCCCATCGATGTGCACTCCTCTTTCCAACAATCTCTTTCATTCTCTCCTTCTACCTCTCTCTTTTCCGCCCTTCAGCCTTTTCTGCAAACTGGCAGCCCTAGTCAGGCACCGGGTCTCTCTCTTCGGTAAGCTTCATCCTTCCTCTGCTCCTGTCCTGGGGTGGGCAGGCGGTCTCAGCCTCCTCTCCTGTTCATTTCTCCTCCCTCTTGTCGGCTCAGTGGGGGTTTTTTTGCGCCCACGAGTCTGCTCTCCCTCCTGCACCCTGACTTCCCTCACCCTGTGCTACCTCAGCCATGAACAAAGCTGCTGCCCTTTTGCTTCTCCCACCACCTGTATTGCTCTAACCTGTGCATCTAGTCCATTTTCCTGAACCGAGGCCCTAAATCTGGGTCTTCTGTCTCCATCCAGGGACAGATGCCGCTGCTGTGGTTAACTGCCTGCACATCCTTGCCCGCTCTTTGGATGCCAGGTGAGTAGTCAGTCAGTCAGTCCGTTTTATTGCACATAGCCAAAGGCTGCCACAACGTACACAGAATCATTCAACAATTAAAAGAAAATATACTGGATTGATACAAAAAACTTAAAACATTTATATTATCAAGACGTTACCTACTCTAAACAGAGCTATAGTAAAGGTAAAGGGATCCCTGACCATTAGGTCCAGTCGTGGCCGACTCTGGGGTTGCGGCGCTCATCTCGCTTTATTGGCCGAGGGAGCCAGCGTACAGCTTCCGGGTCATGTGGCCAGCGAACCAGAGCAGCGCACGGAAATGCCGTTTACCTTCCCGCTGGAGCGGTACCTATTTATCTACTTGCACTTTGACGTGCTTTCGAGCTGCTAGGTTGGCAGGAGCAGGGATCGAGCAACGGGAGCTCACCCCGTCGCGGGGATTCGAACTGCCGACCTTCCGATTGGCAAGTCCTAGGCTCTGTGGTTTAACCCACAGCACCACCTGCGTCCCTAAACAGAGCCATAAAAGTACCTTAATATACAAGTTAAGACATTAAACAATAAAAATTATAAGCTAAAATTATCACATGACCACTAATATATTAAAAAATGATGTTAATTAATACAATGTGCACTTATATTTGGAGTTTGGTGATAAAGATAGAATATAGCTTGATGTAGATAGGGTCAAATAAATACATCTCCTTTACAGTTGGTGGCTACCTTGGCTATATAATTTGCTCTAATGTTCCTAGCAGCAGTTGCAAAGAGTGCTACACGCCAGGTCACATACTTATCTGTGTCTGCGAGGAGATATAAAATCATGTCAGAGGGGTTCTGGTCAGGGGACCTTGTCATTAGAGGTGCTAAAAAATCTTTATCTTGCTTCATTATATAAACCAGGTGAGTAATAATCCCAAATAATCCCTCACACCTGCACACCTGCAGAGAAGACCTATAAAGATGCATGGCTCACAGAAGATTGCCTCCCTTCTCTGTTTTGTGTGAATGAATGAATGAATTTAAATACTGTGTATCTGCATTCACCAAAAATGTTTTCTGCAGAGTTTGCACATAGATGCCTCTTGTTATTTTTGTTTCCAATTACGTTCAGTTGTTTACGGTCTGGATTTTGTGATATTCTTTCCTCTCCTGTTAAACGTTTAATTGGTTATGTTTCTTATGTAACATAAGAACATAATCAAAAAGTTTTTTTATGTATAAAAAAAGATTTTTTTAAACTGCAGCTGCTTTAGATGTTTTTAACTATACCTGTTTTTAGAATGTTTTGAGTGGGTTTTTTTTAGAATGCTTTTAAAAATTGCTTGTGATGGATGTGTTTGCTGCCCTGGGCTTACTTTGGAGGGAAGGCAGGATAAACCATAATGATAATAAATGTAAAAAAGTAATAAGTGCAGCAAACAGTGTTGATGGATAAACTGACCGGGCAAATGTGAGGACAGAGACTGATGGCTTTATTGACGTTTGGCCTTGCTTTGATACATATGTCACACAAAAAGAGCATCATGCAGTGAACACCCAGTGAACATGGCCATCTCTGGGAGGACGTACTGGGTGGAGGGGCAAATGATTCTTTTAACGTACGATCTAACTATACATTTTTGTGTGCCGGTAAGTTCAAGTGCTTCTTCCTGCGATTGTCTGGGAGTTTGGAAGTATTTACTACACT